TTTTTTAGTGCTTTTTCTCTCGTGTTTCCCTCTTTAGTCCTTCAGAGGCAACAGAGGGCAACAGTGGCAGTCCGAGGCTCAAGCATGCAGATTTTGCCTCGTACTGGCTCTCCGGGCCCAGAGAAGCAAAAAGAAGAAGAGCAGAAGAAAGAAAAAGAACGAGAGGAAGTAGAGAGGAATGAAGAGATTCAGCTCTTGCAGGGTCGCTGTGAAGAACAGGCCAGGCAACTACAGACTCTTAAGACAGAACTGAAGAAAACCAGCATGAGTCTGGAGGTCTTTGTGGTCTGCACTCAGCACTTCGCCCTCAAGGTATTTTTTTAAGATTACAGTCAGCTAAAAATGTATTTGGCCAAACATACGCATTCATTATTATTATTACTTTACACATTTTAGAATCTTAAAAAATCATCAAAACTATGAAATAAAACAACTATTGTATTTTATTATTCAAAGTCATAAAAACATTTATAATATTATATTATATTATTTAGTAACATACTTTTTCATTATTATTACTTTATACATTTTAGGAAAAAATCATCACAACTATAAAATAAAACAACTATTACTTTTATATTTTATATTTTTATTTTATTAATAACATAGACATATATTATATTGTATTATATTATATTATATATTGACACATACTTCTTCATTATTGTTACTTTACACATTTTAAAATTATTTTAAAAAATCATCACAACTATGAAATAAAACAACAATTTTATTTTATTATTCAAAGTCATAAACACATTATATTATGTTATATTATATTATATATTGAAACACATACTTATTTGTTATTGTTACTTTACACATTTTAGAATTATAAAAAATCATCACAACTGAAATAAAACAGTTATTTTATTGTATTCTATTTTTTTATTTTCACTGTTCATAAAGTCATAAAAATTTATTATATTATATTATATTATTATACGTGCATGCTTATTCTTTATTACTACTTTACACATTTTGGAATCATAATAAAGTCATCAAGACTATGAAATAAATATATATTTTATTTAGTTAATTTCATTATTCATTTTAAGTCATAAAAACATCATCAAAACTATGAAATAAAGTATCAAATAAAACAATTATTTTCTTTTATATTATTTTTGAGAATTAATCATCCTAAAGATGCTTTTTTTCTAAATTTGTAGTTTTTCAACTGATACAGTACATTCCATCCAACATGATTCACAGTACACATCCCTTCTGGTACAAACCCTGTGATCAAATAATTTGCTCAAGGGCACAGTGATATTACGGCCTTCACATGTCACCACTACTTGAGATGTTTGTGTTGCCATGCCAAAGCCTCAACCACTAGGCATTCACTACCGTTTACTGACATACCGCCTCCTTGAACTGACACATACAGTGTGCCTCAACCGCTAGAAACTGAACAAACAACAACAAAAAACTAAAACAAAACACAAATAACAGCCTTTTTCTAATCTGTCATGAATGTAAGGATGAGGTAACTGTGTGCAAGAGCAGACCGTTGAGTCAGTGTTTGCACACAGAATCTCAAGCCTATCGCTGTCTCCTTAGGATAAATCACAAATGTTGCTGTCCATATTTGTAATTCGATTTGGATAAAAGCATCTGTTACATGAATAAACAATGTAAATAAAGACATTTTTAGAAGCGCAGTGCCCCCTGCTGTCCATTCGTGGCTTTAAGATTCATCTTAAAGAGGCACAGTTGTTTCTGAAATGCCTTTGCATACTAACTCAAGACAAATTTAAAGAGGTCAGTGGAGGTCAGAAACACAATGGCTTACAATATACATCCAAATCTACATATTCTCCTCAACGTTCCAGCTTAATGCCCACACATACTACATTAATATTAATTGCATTCCTCTCCTCCACATGCACTCCTGTTCATCTGTTTAGCAGTAAAAGCGTTTACAGACAGAAGCGGTATGTCAGTAACCTGCCAACAACTCCCACGCCTGCCGACTCCAACATGAAGCAAGCCTCATTTCATCAGTTTCTATAGTGCATGTGTTATTTCTAAGTGCTTTTCATAATCAGGGTGGTACTGTATACTGTACATTTTCTGTGCACACAAAAGTGATAATGTTTCTGCAGCATTGCATCATCATTTTTTTTGTTGTTTTTCATCTTACATCTTACATTTACAGAGATGTCTATGTGTTTAGTTAATAATGTTTGTCAGTTTTCATAATTTGATGTTATTTAGGCCATGAAAGTAATACTAAATGCAGTATGCAGTACTACTAGTCCACACTAGTTACTACAAAAACAAGTATGCACTGAAAAAGCAAGTATTTTTTGAGTGAGGATATATTGGTTCACTGTTTGTGGTTGTGACTGACTACAGAATTATTAATTAGTAAAACCACGTAAACCATGAAGTAATTGGGCATAATATAAATTTCTAAATGTTTTTTTGTTGTTTATCCTGATATTGTTGGGACCAAATGTCCCTACAAAAATGGTAAAACCCCAAATCATTTTATTTTAGAAGCTAAGCAGGAGGACTGAAATAAACAGCAGCTAAATAAACATAGTCATAATAAATATACATAATGATAATCTGTAAAATTATGAAATAAATAATTCATAAATAATCCAAATGCAATGCAAAAAAGGGGTTGCAATTA